GCCTATTTGTTAATGTTCTATGTGATGAGAAGAAGGAAGAGTACGGCACCGTTATCGGCATTGATTTGGGGACAACTTATTCATGGTAATTCCGTTTCTTGTTTATTTCTTTAGTGTCGGTGTCTTTAAAAGTGGTAGAGTGGAGATAATTGCAAATGACCAGGGTAACCGAATCACCCCTTCGTATGTTGCATTCACCTCCGAGGGCGAGCGTCTTATTGGTGATGCGGCCAAGAATCAGTTGACTGCCAACCCTGAGAACACTGTCTTCGATGTGAAGCGAATCATTGGGCGAACCTACGAGGAAAAGTCCGTCCAACAAGACATTTCACATTTTCCCTATACGGTGGTGAACAGAAACAATAAACCCTACATCCAGGTAAAGTCCGGGACGGAGACCAAGACTTTTGCTCCAGAAGAGATATCCGCCATGGTTCTTGGTAAGATGAAAGACATTGCTGAAGCCTACCTTGGAAAGAAAGTGACACACGCCGTAGTTACTGTCCCTGCGTACTTCAACGATGCTCAACGCCAGGCTACCAAGGACGCTGGCGTCATTTCCGGTCTTAACGTTTTGCGAATTATCAATGAGCCTACTGCCGCAGCCATAGCATATGGTCTAGATAAAAAGGATGGGGAGAAGAACATCCTTGTCTTTGATCTAGGTGGTGGTACTTTTGACGTATCTCTCCTTACTATTGACAATGGTGTTTTCGAGGTGGTTGCTACTAGTGGTGACACCCATCTTGGCGGTGAAGATTTCGACCAACGTGTAATGGATTATTTCATAAAATTGTATAAGAAGAAGAAGGGAAAGGATGTTCGGAGTGATCTCAGAGCAGTTCAAAAATTGCGCCGTGAAGTAGAAAAAGCCAAACGAGCACTTAGTAGCGCTCATACTGCAAGGATTGAGATTGAGTCATTTTTTGAAGGTGACGATCTTTCTGAGACTCTTACTAGGGCCAGATTTGAGGAGCTTAACATGGATTTATTCCGCAGCACTCTTAATCCGGTTAAGAAGGTCCTTGATGACTCGGAGCTTAAAAAGGACGATATAAACGAAATCGTCCTTGTTGGTGGTTCGACTCGCATACCCAAGATACAACAGCTTGTAAAGGAGCTTTTTGACGGTAAGGAGCCCAGTAGAGGTATAAATCCTGACGAGGCTGTCGCCTATGGTGCTGCTGTCCAGGCTGGTGTTATTGGCGGGGCAGAGGACACGTCTGACATGGTTTTGCTTGATGTCTGCCCATTAACTCTCGGCATCGAAACAGTCGGTGGTGTAATGACAAAGTTGATACCACGGAATACTGTCATACCTACCAAGAAGTCACAGGTCTTCTCTACTGCTGCTGACAATCAGCCTACAGTTACCATCCAGGTCTACGAGGGTGAGCGGCCAATGACGAAAGACAATCATTT